CACCAATATAGTAAGTAGGGTGTAATAAAAAAAAATATGTTTCAAAATGTATTAAAGATATTTTCCTAGCACAAATTGTGTTTAATAAAATAATTGTATTGGTTTACTATTGAAAACTGTAAAGCTGTATTGCCCATTATTATTATTGTGATAAAATGATAGAGTGCTACTTCCCCATTTGTTAATGGAACGGTCCATGTAGTAGCAGCCTATTGAAAGACTGCAAGTTCTATACTGTTTATAATCAGCTGTAACTTTAAAGCCAAATGAATGCATACACGTCACACGGCTTTGCCAGTTGATCGTTCTCATTACAACCATGTCGCTTTGAAATCAGTCCGTTAAGATTTTTGAAAAATGGCATCGTTCTCTCCGATAAGCTTTTATGCGAAAGGTTGGACATCTACGGGCTATAAGAAAGGTGAGTAAAATTCACATGCGTGCGATGTATTATTTCTTTATTACAAACCAACTTTTTGCAAATTTTGTTTAGCATTCAGTGCATCCCTCGCTTTATGTCGTACAATCTATGAAATTATGGAAAGAATTTGTAGAGTAGATATACTATATATTTGGTAATTCCTTATGTTTCGATACACAGCATACTTGAATTGAATATTGTGGTATTCTGTTAAGGTATTATAGTATACTTGAATATTTATATGTATAATACTAGTCAGATATATAATCGTTAATGTTCATTATGTTAATTCTTTATAATGTAGGCAATTTCATTACTTACGGTATATACTACTGTCCAAATGTCCAAATGGTATAATAATAATAACTTTATTTGAAGACAAGTTTTAATCAGTGGCACACGTCATACGGTGCGTTCACAATAAATAAAATATGAATATATTGTTGTCAAGGTCAAATCTAGATGAAATTTATTACTGTATTCACATTCACATATTATACTAAAACGACCCCTTGATTTGATTTCAAAGCAGCCTTATAAACTATATTATCATGTTTGATTAAAATTTAATATATTCAATTGTGCATTAGAAAATACATGCAACTGCTCCTAGGCAACAGGAAAATTACATTGATGGTAATCTGCGCTGATATTATGATTAATAGTGTACTACTGAATTATAACGTCTGCCTGCTACTATATATTTTTCTTTTTATACCTGATAAGTCCAATATAGAACTGTATTTTATTTAGGCAGTGGGCCAGGTGTATACCCCAATATTTGTTCTAGAATTGTATGTTAATGTAAGTTTCGCTGGTGGTTGCATAAGAATGTGATATCTAATTAGTGTCAAATGCATAAGGGTTTGACAGATATGACATCATCATTTTATACCACACTAATTATTAGCCTTGACTAGTTGAGATTTTGCCAATTAACTGATTCTGTTCACACAATAATTTTGAAATGTTTAATAGATTGTTTTTAGAGGAAAATTAAATTTTCCTATGCCGGCTTCAAGCTGTGTTGGAGTTGGTTGATGACATCGAAACAAAAGGACTCAAGCTGATGATAGAAGCAACTATACTAGTTGTAATTATGTACTTATTCTTCTAATAATACATAGCTTTGCTTCAGGAATATAGATAATTACATACCTGCTAGGAAATATCTAAAATAATGATGTTATAAATCTGTACTGTATTACTCGCAGTGGTTTACTGGCGGTGATCACGCGTTTCGTATGATTTTGCATCTAATGATGACAGTCAAAATACTGTAGCTCAAAAATAATTTGAGATAATATGCAGCATATAGTGTACCTGATGTAGAAAGCGTCTTTATGATCAACTAAGTTACATTAGTGCAGAAGACATCATACATTTAAAAAAAATAGTTCGCTAGAGACACGTGGAGGAAAAACCAAAATTGAATGTTTGATATCGCCTGTAAATTGTAATTATTATTCATGGTCATTAACTCAAGTTTTGCTCTATTAGTAGTGTTACACCCAACCTGGTTTTTTTTTTTTTTTTTTTTTATTGTAGTTCATCTGATTTGAAATTTCCCCAGAGGGAATAGCCATTTCCCTGAAATGTCCCTTTTAGGTATTCTTTAGTGTATGCTGCATTCCTCTATGTTGTTTAGCTGTTTTTGCAGTAAAGATTTTCCTCGTTTTTAACGAATTTCGTGCTGTTCTGCATTTTTGAGAACCTCATTAAGATTTTACTGAGGGAGACTATCACATCAAATTCAGTTTTTAGAGTGCCGATGCATCTTTTGATTTTCTTAACACAGTTTGTTCAACTTTAGATCGATATTGAAAATCTTGTCCTAATATATACATATACAATATGTCAGGCTCATGTTCCTTCATCCTTATACAGTATGTCACTGATTTTCCTTGTACCATGTATAAATTGAAAACAAAGACTGGGAAAACAATCCAGAATTATTTTAATTTTTATGATATTAGGCCCTATAAAAATATTAGTTTATCACCCTATCTAGGCTGGAAATGAGGGAGGAAGCCTTTTTTTTATTTTTCTAAAGTCAAATATCACCCTCGGGTGGTTGTTTGCTGATGCATCTACTAATAAAAAAAAAAAAAAAAATTAAACTTATTATCTTTTTTTCAAATTTTTTTTTTTTTTTAATGTTTTTTTTTTTTTTAGTACCATAGAAGACATGTGCGTGAGGGTGATAAACTAATAATTTTTTTTTATTGGGCTTAGGAAGTGTATGTTAAGATTACTTAAAAACAAAATGTTTGGACTCAACTGTTTAGACCCTAGTATTGTTTGAATTTTTGCATGGCAAAGTAGTAATATATATTTATGATTCAACGCAGTACACCACGTTGATAGTTCTGAAAAAAACTGTTGATGAGAATACCTCGATGTTTGGTTCAGACCCTATAACCAAAACTCCAGGCCTTCATGACCTATGTTTTTTTTTTTTGACAAAGAGACTAATGGTTACATGTCTGGTGAAATCAAAGCCTGGGGACTAGTCGACTTGCACTTAAAAACCATCGTCGCATTGGATTAATTTTGACCAAGACAAAGGGTACCCCATCTACCCAAGCCAAAATATATTGTTGTTCGCAATTTGATTTAAATAAGCAGTAGTGTTTTTACAATAGTGTTGCGGATGTGTGTTCAGCCTAATGATTTACCGTTTTTTACACTGCCAACTGAGAATAAGCCTGTGTTAATTCTCAAGTGATACCGGATACATTTTCTATCTACACCGAACACAAATTTTGGGTGAGCTTGAGTTACACTCAATTACATCAGCAACTAACACGGTTTCAAATAGCATCCTTAATTTTTGTTTTGATGGTGATTATCACATTTGCTCAAGTTGATTGAGTTGTGATGGCACCACAATCATAGTCAATAATGAAGCGATATGTCAGCAGATATTTCTGAAATAAAATAATTAACGGTATATATTTCTGAAAATAGTGTAGCCTTTGAGTTTAACTTAAATCTCATATTTATTGCGAATTGGATTGATGCTTGGATCATGGGTCCCTGATAATAAATTTATATTATTTATTTATTTATTTTTATTTATTTATTTTACTTTTTAGATTTATTTCTTTAACTTTATTTTTATTTTCATTTTTTGTACTTTTTTTTTTTTCTAAAAAGTGAATTGATCTTCTGCTATTTAAATTTTTTAAAGATTTGTTGTTGTAACTTTTGTAATGAAATTGAGAAAGCTAACCCCAGTAAGTTAAAATCAAGTCTGTGAAATTTTTATTTTGGTGGAGTACCTGAATTGGAATTTATAGACCAATTTATTTTTGTATAAAATTTTTGAAAAAAAAAAAAAAATTATATATTCATGTTATAATGGCAATGTTTTCTGTGAAGGTGGGTTGTCGAGGACTTCATACTTAATGTAATAGTGATTAGGTTTATTTTTGAAGTCCTGCCTGAACACCCAGTGGATTGTTTTGTGACCGTCTTCTTTTGGCAATAAAAAGAATAGGAATAAACTTATTTATGGAAGAGGCATTAATATGATATGGTAGACCACACCAATCGTTTACTCTAGCTAGTGAGAAAAACTTTTGATGATGCTTGATATCAGTGAATTTTCCTAATTTTAAAAATGATCATGGCCCCTGTTTATTAAGAAGTATGTGAAAATTTGAAAAATACTCTAGGATTTACATTATCATATCCATGGACCTCTGTTGTCGAAAGGCTATAGACTGTTGGAATTTTCATACTCTTTGGTACTATATTACGTATTTCCGTAATTCCTCAGAGATAAGCGCATGTCTCGGGTATGAGCCACCCCCTACTTTACAGTAGGTGCAATGTCGTGTACCAGCATTTCCCCAGGCAAAAGCACAATGAATCATATGAATGTAGCCCAACAGACTTTTAAAAATATTTATAAAAAAAACAAAAAACAAAAACAAAAACACATTAGCTTTAATTTCAAAGTGATTATTTTGACATTTAAATTTTGATTTACTCCTTTAAAATTATTAAATTATTCAGTTTGTTGCCTGCACTTTACATTATCAAGTTAACAACTTTTAATTATTTTATAAATGTCACCCATATTATTATGTTGCATCAACACGTTCTGTACAATGATGTTCTGCTAATGTAATTAATGATAACATTTTAATGTATGCTTCAATCTGCTAGGCATCTGGAAACAGAAGACCAACTAATTCAGTGCTTGATAACCTAATGAACTAATTGGCCACTAACTCAATTTGTTTTATGGTATTATGTTTGTGGGTTTTTGCCCCATCTTATTTTATCATAGTTCGAAGTTATAAATTCTGCATCAAATACTCTTATCGTTCCATCGTTTTAGCTGTAAAATTTATCCAGATACAGATTCTGTTTTATTCATAGAATATGGAAATATACAGCAAGTACATTTTTAAGTCACTGAAATTTTATAAAACACCCTAGTTCCATATAGATAAAAAAATACAATGGCTAGTAAAAGTATTAAAATTCCAACACTCAAACAATATTTAATTTAAAGCATTATCATAATATATGAAGATATTAATTTTAATATAAAATATTAAAATGTCGAATAAAAATTCTAGTTAAAAATGTTATAATAAGAATAAAATAAAAGATTCCAGTTAAAATTTAAAATTATTAAATTTCAGATTAAATCAATAAGGCCATTTAAAATACTGTACTGTACATAACATAAACAAAAATACCAGTATCCAATCTAAATGAATATAGTATAAATGAATGCTTGCATCTGTTTGTTCTACATTTAATTGATCTGTACAAATTATTTCTATCTTTTGAAATTTGTATGGATGTGACCCAGCATTATAGGATTTGAAACACAAACTAGGCACCATAGTTGGATTTATTGGGAATTTGGAGCCCAGCCGTCCTGTCACTCCTCAAATTTTAGAAAATCCAAAAAATTGGAGGAAAAGAAAATTACAATAACAGATTTAAGTCTGAGAGTGCCATTTCCTGGCAATAGT